TTTTTTTCCTACCGACGGAAACTCGACGAGATACGGAGTTACACACTCTTGTGAGGAAGGCGCCCTGTGTCTGACAGACCAACCGACAACCCCGGCAAGAGGGGGGCGCTCTGTTGCTCTCTCGTGATGCTTCGGCTGCTGTCGGGGGAGATAGACGATGCCGTACGGGAGGTCAAGTTAATAGAGGAGGCCCTGTCCGGCAGCGCCGGTTGCGACGCCGGGGGCAGCGGCTCGTACCTCGGGCTAACCGACCGTGGGGCCTTGCTGGAGTTGCTCCTTTGCGCCCGACGGCAGCTGAACCTGCTTCGAGAGAAAGAGGTAGCAATCCTCAAGTCTTCTGCTGCTACGGAGGGGCGATCCGATCAGCACTTTGGTAAGCTATGGGCACCCTGCCCGGCGGCACGTGGCCTCTCCGTGTTGCTGCGATGCAGAATTGAGAGCCAGCAGGAACGTTGAAGTGCGTGTTGTTCGTCGTCACCATCACCCGTGTGCTGTTCGGAATATTGGTCGATGACTGTCGTAGCGACCAGCGTACGTTGCTGTGTCTCTGCACGGAAGCTGGGGCTTCTGAACATCGTTTCCGTGTCGATGGCTGTTGGGAGGAGGTGTGCACTCACTGTCATGGCCGCGGCCAATCGCCTTCCTATGAACCATCTGGCTGGCTCTAACGCGTGGTGTGTGACGGTCTCCCGTCTGCTGGCGGGTTTCGGAATGAATCTGGAATTGTTTCGCTCAAACAGGGCTGCAACAAAAATAGTCTGTACTTGTAGCCACAAAATCAGTCCACGCCGGTAGGGCTATGGGCCAGCAAGAGCCTGGCACGGCTGCGGTAGCGACGATATGTTGACTGCTCTGCACCGCCCGGAATCATTGTGTGTTAAGGAGAATCTGCGGCAGGATACGTAAGAAACTGCTGTGCGATGAGCGATGAGAAGCCGACTAGACCAGCGCGCCGAAAATACAAATTCCATTGGAAAAAAAAAAAAACGAGCGAGAGCAGCTGTTATTGCGCGAGCCGTGTGTGCCATTCCCGGTCGGAATCCAGAATATCTCTGTGACTGTTTATTCTTCCCCTATAGTGTGGGATAAGACAGCGGCTTCACCTCCCGCGGCCGGTGAAGCGACCCTCTCCAAAACCAGCTCCCCATCCTTCAGATGCCAATTTGAAGGTGTTCGATGTTTTATCCCATACTAAACACGTAGTATTATGCGTTGTCTTTCTTTTCTTAGAGTAACGGCGTGTTCCCGAACACATCCAATGAACGACTCTAAAAAACCCGGCCGACTCCGGTACTGGTCCTCCATGATCCCTTCTACCATGCCTTCGCTTCCCGCTCCTGGAGCTACCACCTCCATGAGCCTCATGTACCTCCACGCCGTCTTCGGGTTTTCCAATACGCTCTCTGCATGACTGTCGAAAGGGATTCTCCGGCTATTATAGAGCCCTCGAAATGGCTCTCCCTGCCCTAAACGGATGCATCGAAAACTCCTGCTCCAAACCGACGCCCTTTGCGTAATCCCTCGACACTGCTGTCATGTATGCCGCCGTCACTGGCTTCGGCCCCCTTTTCGGCTTCTTTCCCGTCTTACTCGCCGAAATGCCCGAGAACAAATAGCTGGCACTCACATCCCAACCCACACTTATTCCCATGTCTATGTAGTACTCTACCGCACTCACAGGGCACAAAGGCAGACACTCCGAATCGTGTTCCACTGATAGCACGTGATCCGCCCCTTCTTGCTGCGTGTTCCCCCATTGGAAAATAAACATCAGTCCGCTTTTGTTGGGTAACCGCAGTATACGTTGTATGAGCGTGTTCACCAACTCGGCTCCCCTCTTGGTCGTACTAAACGCTTCTGTGAAGAAAGCTATATCTCGGGCCAAGATAACCCTCTTCTCTGCCGATATTGTAAAATCGAGCTCGGACCTCAAAAGAACCAGTATCTGATGCAAATGACTGCGCAAGATCGCTGGTGCTTGTTTTAACGAGTACCCCTGCTTGCTTTTGCTGCTTCGTTGTAAACCGCATGCACTGTGTCACCAACTCGCTTCTCACTGGGTTTCCTGTTCGTCGTTGACTGTCCCAATCGTGCGTGAACCCCAACTCCTTCTCGAATACCACCGCCAATTGTGACCCGTGCTTCGTTCTCAGAGAATCGTGAGCATAGCGCTTGGTACATGCTTAATGCTCGGTTGAACGGGCGTCTATGCTTGAGGTGCCGACCGCTTGACATTCCCTTGCGTGCACTAACGTATACCCCATCTTTCCGCAGGCATCTAACTAGCAAAGATAGTCAACGATATCTCTCGGCTGAGATTCCGTCATAGGCGCCACACGCCCTGTTTGTCGGGACTGAAGAAACTGCGTGTATGAAAGCATTGTCGCACATCTGCTCCTCATCGCTGCGGACCTGCCGTTGCCTCCTTGAATCTCTGCATCTCGTGGCAAGCGCGGCCTCGTCAAATGTTTAAGGAACCGACTGTAGAATTCTGACCTGAAATTGTACAAGCCTTTACGCACAATTGGCAATACCTGTATCGCTCATCGTTTTCACCTAAAACATTCTCCGTGCGGGCACAAAACTCTTGATCGCGTTGGTGCCACCTCGATCAAGTGATCATATGTAATGAATGATCCTCGGTTTTGATGTTGTTGGCCCGTACCAGACCACCACCTCTCAAGAATAGTCAAGATGAGCCTCGCCGCTGTTAACAAGCCCCATAGCGCCTGATACACACACTAACGTAACACAATGATCATCCAATTATTTACCGGCGAAGTTCACCTTCACTCGCTCGCATCGCCCACCGCTTAATAGCAAAGGACATCTTCCTTCGCTGATGGTACATTGGATAGAATACCAATCCCTCTGTTTGGCTATCGGGTTAGACCGTACTGTGGCTTCTGCCAGCATCGGATACCAGTTTTGTTGTTAGTCTGGCGTTATCACAACCGCTCGCGCTCCACACTCTGCGATGCGTTGTTGTAGCACCACCCCTACCATTGCCGCTGGTGGGAAACAAAAACCAAAGCAAGCCCTCTCGGAACCCGGCAAAAACCTTAAATCCTGACTCAACGCATCACTGCCTACGCACTCCTCATTGTATAACCTCGAATAAAACCGTAGCTGCCTGTCGCTTCCTGTTATACTTGGTGCCGATGCCGCTGTGGCCATCAAATTCATGTCGAGAGGTCTACCCACCCACCGGCGCAATTCCGCGAATTTTCTTCCTTCAACCGAACGTACGATTCTACGTCTGGACGCGGCAAGCTGTCCCCTTCTGCGTTCGCCTTCGAACACCCCTCCTGTACGTTGAGGGTGAAATCCGCCTGCACTTGTAGCCAAAACAACTCTGCCACAATGTCGTGCAAACGAGTGTTTGAAGACTTCTCTTTCCTCAACGCGTAGAAAAGCGCTTGATTGTCGATATCCACGACCAACGTCGAATCTTGCACCTTTGTTGGTTTTTGCTGACAGTACAAGACCAAGAGCTGTTAAATCGCATACGCTTCTTGCTCGTTTATGTGCTGTGTTGTCCAATCGTCTGGGAAATCACCCGCCACGCGAAACACTTCTTCGCTTGGACATCGAATCAAACCTCCCCATCCGGTCAACGATGCGTCCGACGCCCCCGCTATCGTCAGTTTTTGGTGCTGTGCCGCGTGCCACCCTGCTCCGTTTATCCTCTCTCGTACCTCGAACCACTTCGCCATCTCAAAGCGCAAACCACCGTTCTTGGGGACGTCAATGTCTATGTTTCTCTTCCGTCCGCCGTTTCTCTGAAACACTCCGATGTGCTTGTGCATGTGGTGCGTACACAAAACTGCCGCTGGATACGCAACTGACATGCTCGTACACTTACTTCCCTGCGAGCTTTTCCAAAGCCTGAAACGAAATAACTCCTCGTGTCAGTGCCTCGGTGAGAATTGTCTCCAACTTCGCCAGTTTGTCCCTCCGGAATAAAGAGCTGCTGCTCCTTTGAGTCACACACCACCTCTAAATAGATCAGTCTGTTGGTCGCCTCGGGCTCACATTTTGGTATAGACATCAAGTACCCTGCCTTGTAAAAGGCGGTCATGACCAAGTATCCTGCTACCCTGGCTGCCTGCTCCGGCTGCACTGGCTCCAATCCGCGAGTGGGACGGAAGTTCGTGAAATGAAAATCATCGATCCACGTGAGTACTGGGATGCCCTTTGTCCTTAAGTACCTCGACACCACCGCCGAAAGAGAGTGGTAAATGTATGGCGAAGAGCACCACCCGAAGCACAGGGTCGTAAACACGGAGTATCTCCCACCCCACCTGAAGCCAAGGTACTGCCATGATTCCTTCGCCAACAGTAGAGGGTGAATACCCGACTTGTGGTCGCACGTCATCTGAAAAGCTCCTGTCCCCGCGCATTGTGCTACCTTCCCTGCTGCATCCATCTTGAAAGGAATTTTTCCACCCATCAGGTTGAGCCAACGTGCGTCTAAGAATGCCCGTGGTTTGAACTTCTCGAATCCTAGCGGAATCACCATGTGCGGTTTGGGGTGTTTTGAAACGTCGGCTACTCCCTCCCACGACGCTACCACTCCGCTCTGCACGTAGTTTTCCGCCTGCTCATCGACAAAACCTGTGAACGCCTCCGGCACATGGTTCGGGAGCTCCACTGACGTCAACTCCGAACCTTTGTACTTTCCTTGAAATTTCCCTTCTGTATCCGGGTCAAATCAAGTCTCTGATATCCACACCTCGTCACCACCTGAGGTACATAGCCCGCTCGTCGTCGTCGCAAACTGTCATAATCTGGTCCTGCCAAAACTGTGTATGCTACGAGATGTGTCCTGGGACTAAATTTGCTTGGCACCATACCGGAGCTTGGTCCGGCGTGACGGGAGGCTGCTCGTGCTGTAAAGCGTCCTGCACTAAATAGGTCGACATCCGGGCGCTGAACGTGTCGCTCGCTGTTTCCGTCATCTCCAACGGAACCGGTAAGAATTTTCGCTTCGCGTCGTGCTCGCTCTCGCAGAAAATCATCTGCCCCTGAGCCCACCTGTCAGAGTGCATGTAAGGCCTTTTGGTCATGCCTTGATGTCCGCCTGACCGTTTCCGCCTGACCGTTTTCGGTCCTGTAGCGAAATATTAAGTGTCTAGCGAGCCAAGCGCCCCTTGTCGACCGAAGTCCAAGCCAAGAAAGGGCAAGATCCAGAGATGTCAAAGATTCACTATGCCAGCACTTCAACCTACGGGCTATCGTAAATATCGTGTGCACGCAAAGGAATGTTGTTGCTTCTTGTTGTGTGAACCACTGCTGTGTAGTGTGACTCTATGCGGTTCACGCGTACAAAGTTGATCTCGTCGTGCACGACCTGCGTGCGTCGTTTGGTGT